GCGGAGCAAACGGGGACCAGACCCTGCCGGTGGCACAGCTTGCTAGGAGGAATAACTGGGAACGGCTGAGGAACACCAGCCCAGGAAGTACCTCCTCCATATCAGCACTGTTGGGTGTATAGTTACCGAGCAACTTGGCATGCTCCAGGCCGGAGGGTTTTAGAGAAAAGCCAACCATGAATTATCACACTTAAGCTCTGGAAACATCCCATAACAGTGGAAGATTTGCTAAGAGGCCACTTGATGCACATGAATCATCTCCTCCCTGGAAACAAGGGCCCCTTGAGCAGGCGGATGAGGAGGGAGCGTCTCAAACTCAACATCAACCCCGGTCAGCAGCGTTAGCCCGAGGGGGTCGGCCTTGCTCCCACCCTCCCCCCAGCTCATCAAATACCCTGGCCAGCCCCCCTTTCCGCACCCACGTGGTGATTAACCCCATTGCCTTTAGCATCGCTGCCCGAGAGCTGGACAAACTGCCCTGCTCTTCAAGCAGGTCCCAGCTGAGATGTCACGCACGGTATCCCCTGGTATTACTGAATGCGAGGTAAACCTCAAGCCTGCTGACCTTCCCGTCCCGCCCAAGAGAGGAATTCATCCCCTTGGGTCCCTGCGTGCAGCCGCCTCCTCGCAGCCTTCCCAGGGCAGCACAGGAGCACCTCGGAGCACACCACGCACCTCGCAGAGCGCGGCTGCACAAGGCGAGGCAGGGACACACATCTCCTGAGGATTTCATCATCTTGACCTTACAGTAATTCATATCCTTAGCTGATAACCTTGGAAAATCAGTGCTGGGAGACGAACATGAAACCTGCTTGCTTAAGGGGACAGAAGATCCCCCACCACCAGTTCTCCCTCCCAGTGTAATTGCCCCCTGGCTTCTCTTTTAACATGAAGGAGCCTGCAGGTTTCAGAGGGGCCCTGCTGCCCCTTTCTCTTTGCCTTGTCCCAGGGCTGGGGGAGGGGGAGATGAGCAAACAGGGAGATTAAATAGCAAGAAGGCTGCCCTAACAGTGTCTGCCGGTCCTCCTTTATCTTAAACCCCCCATCTACTCCAGAAGCCAAGCCCAACACTGACAGTAGCTTGGGATGTCTCCTTTTTCTAGCACACACCTACCAGCACGGACATCCCACAGCCTCGTCTGGTAGCACTACAAAACAACCACCATCTCAGCTGCTTTTGGCACTGTTTGAGAGAAGGGTCCTGCTTCTGGCCCGCTTCTTTTGCCAGCAATGTCTCATTTTCCCCTAGTATAAATAGCTCTGCAGAAAGCCTTATCTAAAGGCCTTGCTCTCAGCAACTCACCCACTCCAAAAGAGGACAACTGAGCAGCAAGTCCAAGCCCGGGGAAGAGCAGCAGTGCCATTCTTCCAGCTGCTCTCTCCAAGCCCTCCTGCTTCACACCAACACTTCAGCCATCGCACCAGCACTCTGCCGGCCAGCCTGGCCCTCTGCGCAGACAGCGCTTCTCCGAGTCCTCTGCCAACCCCCGCGGACAGGGGAGAAGAGCAGAGGGCAGCTCGGCGTAAGCGGAGGGCCAGCGCTCTCCCCTTGTGCAGGGAGGCCAGGCCAGAGAGCCTGGGTACAAGGGAATTGGCTGCAGGAGGAAGACCCCAAACGTCCCTATCCTGGTCAAGCTGCTCTCTCCAGAAGAGGAGAGTTTCACATCCTCCCCATGCTCTCAAACCTGACAGAAGTAGGAGCCCTGAGCGGAGAGGAGTGTAATTACAGGCTGACAGAGCTGACACGGGGTGAAGGTCATCACCCGCGAAGGTGCCTGCCACCGCCAGCTTGCACATTCGAGAAGCCATCACTCATGCTGCAGTGAAGCCAGCAGCCTAGGCCACTCAGCCTCTTTTCGGTAGAATTGGATTACAGCAAGTACTGGTGAAGAGGGGATCACCAGCAAGTACTGGTGAAGAGGGGATCACAGCGGTTCCCTCTTCATTTCGCCACTGAGCTGCACCAGGACACGTGGCACCCAGCTCCGGCCAGGCCCTGCTGGCAAGGCTCGCCCCCGCAGCGTTACCCAGATGGATGGGTGCTGGTCTGCAGCTAAGTCACCCCAGGCTAAATCAAGGAGATGCCCACGCTCAGAGCTTGGCTCCAGGCCTCGAGGAGGTGGTGGAAACCCTCCCGTTGGTTGTAGCGGACTGCACGGCTGCAGGGCAGCACCTCTCTGCCTCCTTGCCTTACTAGTGGGAGGCTGCCCAGTACGATCACATTAGGGCACTGGTCTCAACGAGAAATAACTCACATGGGGCCAGGGGATGGTGCGAGCCCCGACGCAACGCCCCCAGGGAGGCCACAGGCACGTTGGAGGGGCCAAGGCTGTTTAAACTAGCATTGCTGCTGGAAGAAACGGTCCGTGCAGCCCTTGCTGGACTGTAGGACATCTTTCCTGCAAAATACCTTTCATGTTCCCAGAGTTAAGTCTCCAGCTATGGAGCACCACGTGCTCTGGCTCTGCATATCCTCAGATAGCAGCTATCAGATCAGGCTGTTTAACTGCACCGCCCTGGCTAAGCTGCTGCACCTCTGTGTGCGAAGGGGCCAAGGACCAGCGGTCCGACTGGCTTTAGAGATCTGCATGAAAATACATTAAACACCAGGCTGAAAGCAGCCCAGAAGGTTGAGGGGAGAAAGGTGCCGCTTTTACAGCCAAGCGGATAAACAACTGCTGAATCCAAAGCGGCTGCAGATGGGCCCGCAGTCCCCCACTCGCGTCTCTCCGGAGCGGGTGCGGGCACCGCGCAGGGAAAGCTTCCCCGTGCTGGGTGCTTCTTCCAGAGCTAACATGCACCTCTTGTGAACAGAGGCTTTTTGTGAACGTCAGCACCCTCTGTCCCTTGTTTAGCCACAGGCCACCAGCCAGACGCTGTCACTGTCACTGCAGCTGCCCTCGAGGTGCTCACAGAGCCAGAGCCCTTCAGTGGGGCAGCAGGAGAGCATGCACCGACTTCGCGGGGGCTCAGCACTCGTGCCCTGCCGAGGTGAACGGATGCCCTCTGCCCCTCGGAGCCAGGAGGCCTCACACCAGAGAGTCTGCTTTAAATTAGGAGCTAATCGGTCCGAGTCCAGCAGTGGGGCAAAACACGATATACCAGTGCCAGCAACCTCAGCAAGACCTGGCCTGTGACCACACTCCCGGGGAGCTGCTCCCAGGAGGAGACGCACACCTCGCACCAAGGGCTCAGGGGCCGCCCCCGCGCGCTCACCCTGACACCAGCCTGGGCACAACTCACCATCACACCGAAATTAGCTCGGAGCAAGACAGCAGGGACCAGGCCTAAAGAGGCATCTCTTTTTGGGAGGCAAACGCAACTCCTGGTTGCCTGCCCTGTTTGCTCGGGCGCTCACAAACCGAGACGAAACCCCCCGAGGAAGTCCCGCACCCAGCACCGGTTAACGTGACATGGCCCTTAGAGAGGGCGACCGAGATTGCTGCCAGTCAGCACAGACCAGATTTTCACATCCAAACCCCAGGAGAGCATGAGCAGGTAACAGATCCCCCGATCATGGTGCTACCTGCCAGGAGGGTCTCCTCAGTGCTTCCGAGTGAGCAGCACAGAACAGCCCGGGAGCAGCGAGGCTCCACGTCCAGGAGGACGAAGGGCTGGAGAGGGGTGGAGGGGGGCACCTTTCAAAGCGCTCTACAAAAACGTGATGGGAACACCTTGCTCAGATCACCCATGAGCATGGCAGCAACCGGCAGGCTGGACACCTCGGGAGCCAGGACGCGGAGCCCACCGAGCATGGGGCTGGGCCCCCTCCCAGCCAGGGCAGTGGGCAGCCAGTGTCCTGCTGCGGACACGCAGCTCCTCGACCGCACTGCCGGGCATGTCAGCAGCATGGGAAAGTAGAGCCTTGCTGCAGGAGGGGGGCCAGGGCGACAGGCTCCCCAGTGCCCCGATCGACTCGCCATCCCCATCCCTGTGCCCAGCCTCAGCTCTCCCGCTGTTCCCCAATGGAGGCATTGCAAAGCTAGTCCATGCAAAGTGCTTAAAAGCCAGGATAAAGGAGGGTTCAGAAGAGCTGGACATGTTTTCCATAGTTTTAGAAGTGCGGCAGTTCTCCCTTGGTCCATCCACTGAAAACAAAGTCTAGACACATATGCACATTCAAAGGAAGGGAACGGAAAGCAGAGAGAAATCTAGTGAAGAGGTTCACGCAGGACGCGATGCTGGAGAGCCGCGACGGTCCCTGGCCAGCTGGCCCCGCAGTGCGACCCTAGCTGCAAGCGCGTGGTGCCGAGCAGGCAGAGGCCCCACTGGCAGACAGCTGCCACCAGCACCTCAGTCCCAGGTGACAGTGAGCCACCAAGGGGGCCGCTGAACCCCGGGGGGGGGGGGGGGGGGGCGCGGGCGCACC